GAGAAGGGGCAGCTGATATTCACCGCATGTTGGACATCATGGTAAGTAACATGAAAAGCACATCGCGACAGCAACAGAGACTGGGAGAACAACTACGGCTGGAGGAAGAGAGACGGCAAAAGAATTTTAAAGAGTTGCGAGATCCCTGTGCGGACCCGAGTAGTGCACACTTTGATGTAGCACACCTTCCGAAAAAACGCATGTAAGAGAAATATCTCAACTGTATATACGCATAATAAGCATAAACGGTTTCCCAAAGAGAAGAAAACAAAAAATAAAATGCTCTGATCATTTTCCAACACCACTGCCAATAATGGAAGCAGCTCTTTTCTTTCTCTTGGTACCTTGGGTATTATTTTTGGTACTCTATACTTCTGAAAAAACAACTTTGATTTTATATACTTCACTCGGGTAACTTTTCCCATTGATGTTGTTGTTATTCGTAGAGAAAGTAAAAAAGGAAAAAAATATATGTCCGCTAACCAGACTCTCATGATTTTTTAATATTAATTTTTGTATTCTACACTGGTGGCAAATCCCTCTTTCCACCATTCACACCCCTCATGGGTAGCAGCAGTGGAGTTAACTGAAAGAGATTTCGAAAATAACCTTTCCTTCCAAATATCAAGTTAAATGAGGAGAGATATGATGTATAAGAAAAGTGAATTGTTTTGAATTACATGTAAACAAACCCAACCACGTAGCCTGTATATGTGTATAAAATTCAGGTGAGATGCTTTGTTTTGTTTTTTTGTTTTTTTTATATTAAACTTTGTATATTGAGATTTTACGCAACGCTGTCAATGATCATTTGTTTTTAATTTGTTTTTCTACTGAACCGTGTCAAACTTTACAAACAGAATCAATACACAATTACTCTCTCACACACATATTACCTCTTTATTTATCCTTATTATTATTATTTTATTTTTACCTCAGAATGCCGGTTCACCCCCTCTTCTTCCCACACCATTACCAATAAAAAAAAAAGGAAACACACCACCCCATGGGAGGCAGAGGCCCGCAGCCAGAGCGCAACGCCCGGCGCCGCAAACAAAAGTGCAACCACATCCAGTACATGTAGAAAACACAAATCACGACGGCAAAAACCAGATGGCGCGCCTGGCACCCCAAAAAAAAATACAGGGGTGGGGGTCCAACCCCGCCACACGGGCAAGTCCGAGACGGCCAGGGGCACCGCCTAACCCCACCAAGGCGGAGCAGCACAACGACACAGAGGCTACGAACGACCAAAAGAAGAATAAAAACCAATAGAACACCAAAATAGCAGAGGCGCAACTATTCTAGAGGCCGCCTGCTTCGACCAGAAAACCGCCACCCCACCCCGGCACCACCAGCCAGCCAAAGTTGTGACAGACGACGGCAACGACGCCACCAGGCCGGCACAACCCAAAACACCGGAACAACCAACACCTACAAGGGTTAGCTTGTGTGCGAAAATGTGCCCCAATACCACCGTAACGAGGCCCAGTAGAGCACGGAGGCGGGAAACGCACGGCACTCGCAAAACTGAAAATTCACCCCTGGAGGTGGGGCTGGGAAGGGCACCCCCGGGGGCATAATATGTTCTATTGCGGGTATATCGGGTACGACCATACTTGGCCGAATGCACCATATCCCGTCCGATTTGTGAAGTTAAGCGGCCACAGGCCTCGTTAGTACGGCGATCCGTTATGGCGCTGGAACCCGGGGTGCCGTACCCCCCTCAACTTTTTTTTTTGCCAACATCTTGGGGTGGGTGCCGAGGACCTCTGAAGTGAACCACGGCTCGCCTTTGGCAATGAGGGCTGTCCAATCGCGGCGCCCAGCTTACGCACTTCCATCTCCCAGGGAAAAGCCAAACATACCTCACACATTGTTGTGGTGGGGTCCCAACAAACCAAAATACCTATGGGGCGAAGTGTTTTCTTATGGGGGAATGTTCTTATGGGGCGAAATGTTCTTATGGGGAATGTGTTCTTATGGGGGAAAATGTTCTTATGGGGGAAAGTTTTCTTATTGTACTTGCTTTCTCTTTTCTGCATTTCCCATGGGTTTCCTTTTCACACCACACATGGCAGTAGCGGGACGCCTTAACACGTCACCATAGCAGAATTTGCCTCCATCATAGGGAAGGAAGGACTCACCCTCATGTTCATTTTTCATGGCGCCGCGTGTCACCGAGTAAAAGGTGCGGTTGAATGGACACACCATGTCATGAGGGGAACGGGGAAGGATCATCTTTGCGCAATGCCTTTCAAACCCATCTTACTCAGCGTTGAAGTGGGGAAAGCAAAGAGTTTTCCACTATGCCCAACCCCACTCATTTTATAAGTGAAACACCCCAGGGAGCAGCCACCCCACCCATCTTTTTCTTGTTGCGCACAAGGCGCTGTGACAAGTTGGCCGCCCGCCTTGGGTTGTGGGGTCGTGTTCTCTCCTCCTCTCCCTTCTTGGGGTGAGGGATAAAAAAAAAAAAAGAAAAGGGCAAAACCC